TCTTTCCCTGTATATTTGCTACAAAATTGATCTTCATATTTAGTTGATGTTTCAAACATGTATAAATTTTGTGAAATGGAGGTTTATTTATCTAAGATATATTTATGTTTGCAGAAGAGTACAGGATGCTATGATTATATACTCTGTGCTTTGGGGTATCTGTCCATTACTAGTTAAACAAAAATGGAGAGGAAAGGGTGTAAGGCTGTACACTATGGATTATGTATTATGAATTATTACACAACAGATGGGAAAAATATTGCCAGCATTAGCAACAGCTTCAGTGTAAAAATACTGTACACAGTATCTCTGTGAGCAGTGTCCCTCTAAAATAGGTGAAGCTGTAGGTGTTGTTTAGCGGTGCCAGCAAATAAATAACCAGAGAAAAAGAATGGGAAAACAGTTTAAACTAGGTTCAAAGAGTGATTAGACAAATTCATGGAGGACATGTTTACTGAGAGCTATTGAATATAACAGTAATGATATCTGTTTAGGGATATTCTGATATCCCTAAAACCAATAATGGTTGATGATTTAGAGAGTATGACAGAAGATAGATTATTCTAGACATTCCCTGTTCATATACTCTACCTCTGAAGCAAGTACTATTTGCCACGGTCTGAGAAAATACTGGGCTAAATGGACCACTAGTCTAACTTCCTACATTCTCAAAACATATATTCCTTAAAGTTCCCTTTAAGACACTATTACATAATATACTACTGAAATCAGCATTAGAAAATAAACTATATAACATCTTGATATTTAAAAGATATATAAATTAATGCAGCATAAAATATAACAGAGCAGAACTTCATTTTTCATTGTTTACATTAAGCCTTATAAACTCACAAACATTTAAGGACCCAACTTTAAAAAAATGTAAAGGTGCAATGTAGAGTGCTTACAGATCAGACGATTAACCAAACAAATGCATGACTGACCATTTTTATGCACATGTACCAATTTTTGTGAGCAACTGCAATACCTTTGTGTACAAATTAAGGACTAGGTTGCACACCCATTTTTTGTTTTTGCATGTTTTTGAAATATGAACCCTAAATAGTTCTTCTTAAAAGGCAAATACAATAAGGCACTTTTCAAAGCAAAGCTCAAGCCTAAATTAGAATTCCTTGTCAAGTAATTATCTTTCTTAGAATGATGGTTTCCCTCCACATTCCTGTTTTACTCCACATTTCCAAAGTTTTACTACTTTCCTCCCACATCTGTACTGTAGGGCCACACACACACACACACACACTTAGGAATTTGCTTGAGTACAACTTTTCTAACCAAAAAACAACTGGATGGGACTTCTTTGAGCAGTGCAGCATTCACTGCAGTATTCTCTGCCTAGCTGTACTTCTAGCCTGCAGGATCCAAGAGCATTTACCAAAACCATCTCTCTCTTACAGCTGTAGACACTACTACCAAGCTGACAAAAGAGCTTTTTCCAAATTAGAGTAACTATGTAATCGTTTAGAATTGCAAGAAAACATCACCAGTGTATCAAATGTTCCTCAGACAGTCCACATTTCTACAACATTGACCCTTGACCTTAAAAATGCTTACACACGTGTTCAACTTCAGTCATGCAAGTAAATCTATTTGAATTCTTCTGAGCTATTCATGTACTCAGCAGCGTAGAGACACAGCCAGGTGCCTGGGGCACAGGGGCAGTGGCAACTTTTGGTTGCCGCTGCACTGCTGGCACAATTGCTGTTGTGGTCATGTGGCTGTTGGCAGCAGCTGCCCCTCTCCCCCCCACATGCACCCCAGTTGGCACTCAAGGCAGTTACCCCAGGCACCCTGCCCTAGTTATGTCCTGTATGTACCTAAAAGATATACATGTATAAGTCTTTGCAGGATAAGGACAGAACATGCTACTAGGGATACTGCTTACTGGATGTCCTGAAATTAATTCCAGTCATTTTAAAATAAACCCCATGTATCTATCTCACGTACTTCTGATTTTTTAGATTAGTGGTTTGTAGAGAAGGAAATCACATACGGATCTTATGCATGTAATTTTCCCTTAAACGTAAACCAGTCTTCTAATTCACTTCTGAATAATACAGCCTTGGTAGTAGTGTAATTAACTGCAGCAAATAGCCTTACAAAATAGCCATGAGCATTCAACAGCCCTTACAATTTGTCATAAAAAATACTCTAGGCAAGAAGAATTTATTATGAATGAGCTACAACTGCATAATTTTCCTAAATGCCTGGGATATCAGATCTGTCTAGCTGCTGTTCAAAAACAACTCTTCAGAATTTGGTTAGTAAAAGTTCTGGAGGTAAATACACAATAATTGTGTGTTACCATGATAATCATTAGCTACTTAGGCCCTAACTCAAGAGTTCTAATTTTAAGCACATAGGGGGTGCGTCTACATGAGACATTTTACTACAGAGCTGGCTAATTAGCTCCGCAGTAAACGTCTCAGCATCTACACATACGCCTCTATTAGGGCACAGGAAGCTAATACACTCCACAGCAGGGTAGAACTTGTATTTACTGCAGAGTACAAATACTTCAAATACTGTATTTACAACTACTACCTTGCTAGGAAGTTATTTTGTGCACAGCAGCACATGTGTAGATGCTGACCTGGCTGGCTGGGCACAAGGGTGCTTCAGTGCAGGGGTTGCCTGCTGGCTAGCCCAGGACTGGAGCACACTCATGCCCCAGCCAGCCTCTTCACAGCATACTGAGCTTAGTTGGAGCAGCCCCAGGATGGCAGGCTGGCTCCTAAGCCCCTTGCCAGCTGAGGCTGCTCCAACTGGGCTCCATATGCTGCATATCGATAAATTCCAGATCGGACTGCTCCAGAGTTAATTTTTCCCAGGCACACATTCAAATGGTGCATCCAGGAGCAAAAACCTCTGGATCAACAAGCTCCAAAGTTTGTTCATGTGCACTAATTCACGTATTCATTCATTTATTCAGAGTTTACTCATGTGCCCAGGCAATTTCATTAACTTCTCTAACATGGTTACTGTTTTTAGTGAACTTTTATAGATTTTTTCAAGGAGAAATAATATTCATTTCTCACTAATCAGTGTACACAGGGATTATATATTCAACATTAAGAGGAGCTACCAAGGGACATTCCCTATCCATTGATAGACTCCACCTTTTTAATTATATTAAAAGACATTTAAGGCAAATTTTCAGAAGGACTAACGATCACTATCATTTTTGTGAGAGTAAAATCTGTTGCCAGACTTTACACCTGGAAGATATATTATGAACTTCTGCTTCTAAACCAGTTCATTTGCTCTCACAGTCAGACAGAGGTGCAAATGCTTAGATACAAAAGGAACATCTGCCTTTTGAAGGTTTGAAATTAACACATACATTTTTAGGATAAAAGGATGCTTTTATCCAAACACAAATATCTTTGTTCTCTGCAACCATTTGAGTATCCATTTTAGAAGTGTATATTACTTGTACAATATTGAGGAAAGTTAGCTACATAAATCATTTGATACAATATACACGGAAACAAAATAGCCTGCAGCAACTGGTTCTGTTCAAAGGATAAAAACTGCACTTACTCTGATGTTGGATTGTATAGCCTTTGCATTCTCAAAACCTTGTTAGCAATAGAGATAATGCTGTTGGAAACCTTTTAAGATTACAAAAAGATTTTGAAAGTCTGCTCTTACATGTGCTATAAGAATTTTCTCTCTACCTAGGAGACACAGCAGTTCGAGAAGTTTTTGAAGAGACTGGCATCAAGTCAGAATTCAAGTCCATCCTAAGCATAAGACAGCAACACAGACACCCTGGAGCCTTTGGGAAGTCAGATATGTATATCATCTGTCGCCTGGAGCCTTCCTCATTCAACATCAGCTTCTGCCAGCAGGAGTGCCTGAGGTGTGAATGGATGGACCTTGATGAGCTTGCCAAGACGAAAGATGCTACCCCCATCACCAGCAGCATAGCTAAATTGTTACTTTATGGATACAGGGAAGGGTTTGATAAGATTGATATAACTATGAAAGAATTTTCAGCTGTTTATACAGGCCTAGTCTATAAATTGTACTACAGGGAGCTACCAGAGTCTTATAAGGACATGGGAGGATTATAAGAAGCTTCACATTTATTAAATTAAATACATAACAATCTTCTAAAATTTGGGTGTGCTTGTACCACATTAAAATTATTAATGAACTGTTTTCAGGCTGAATTTCAATTATTTTTAGTAAGCTATGTGATAAAAATTATATATTTTACATAGTAAATATTCCTGTAAGTGTGCATGGTTTTAAATTTTCCTTTACACTGTAAAGCTAATATAAAGCAAATATAGTAACTCTAATTAGATATCAGGTGGAAAACAGACATAATGCCGAACTTGAAATTTCTATGCATTTTCCAGATGCTTCCCCCCAACACATATGGCACAATAGTTTCAGAACATACAGTAATTTAAAGGTTACATTATATAAACTTTTATTTAATATAGTTAAATATTTGCAAAAGTAGATAATTTTTCAGGAAATACTTGCTCACATTTTTCTACTTTCGGAATAATGAGGAAATCGACATCTTTACTGTGTTCTGGCATAAACTTTGGAATCTGCCATTGAAATCAGCTCTTAGCAGACATGGGAAGAAAAAGGATAGCTTTCTGTCCTGGTCCAGTTTTAGATCCGAGTTTGTATTGCCCAGTTCTTTTCAGTGCCACATACCAATCAGAATATTTCCGTGACCGGTAAGTGTTGTAGTTGTTGGATTCCAAGCGCTCAAAAAAGAAACATTCTTCTGTTACACATTTCTGCAAAGGAATAAAATAAATAACATTTTATTTCAGTTCATCTACTGTGGCATAACAAAAAACTTCCATAACATATACAGAGAACACTTATTAATGATAGAAATTAGTGACATGAAACTTATGCATATCCCAGTATTAATTATTGTTATTAAGTACAGTAATCTCATTAAATGTTCAGATTTTAAAATGCTTCCAAGCTTAGTGTTGAATGAAGTAGGTACAGCAGACTTTTGGGCCAAAACAAGCAGTTCAGAGTAATCTGTGTCTTCATAATGTATATTCCTTTGTTCCTTTCCAGTTTATCAGAAAATTAAATGAAGACCCCTAAATGATGAAAGCATTGGTAGATCCTCATTTTTAAACATCCAGGTCCAAAACGAAACAAAGATGAAGCAATTGGTTCATTCCTGTTAAACAACTATTTCATCAACTACTTGCCTTTAATATAACATTGAGGCCTCTGGCAGACATTACCCTTTAGACATAATTAATCAGCAGGGATCCAGGTTTTCCATTGAATACGGAAAAACGCAGTTTCCTCCTTTAAAGGAGAAAATCACGGGAAACAGCAGGTTCCAACCTGCAAGGAGCTGCTTGGGCTAAGGTGGAGTGAGGGAGGATGAGCAGAGGCAGGGGCGCCACGTGCACGTGCTATGCATATGCACATGGTAGCCAAGCAGCGGTGGAGAGCAGCTCCCACAGATCCCTCCAGGTAAGTCTGTGGGGGCACAGGCAATACGGCAGGAAGGGTTTCCCACAAATTGTAAAGCAAACTGGACAACCAAAAAAGCATCCAAAACAAAACAACCCCCCCTCCCCCAACTTAATGATCAGACTAAAACAAATCCAAAAAAACAGGATAAACATACGAAGCAATCTCTCTCAGAATAAGCAAGCTCTTCACGTTTCCATTTGATATTGTCTCCCGAGTTCCTCTGGGAACTCAGAAAGAAAAATCTCTGATCTGCTCTACCAACTAGTCCCAGGTTGCATCTAAATATTCATTAGTGTGCCATAATTATGGCGCATTAAGTTTAATACCTGTAATAACAGGTACTAAATGCGTCGTAATAGGCGTTACTGCGCATTAGTGCAGATGAACATTTTTTTGGGAGGCTACTGCACGTTACATTAAATCTACTGAGTATTAGCTCATTTGCACAGGCTTTGCCCACCATGCTAATGCACAGTAGAATCAGTCTTCTGCTCATCAAGCATCTCGTGTAGACATGCTCCCAGTCAACCACTGCTACGCCACTTTACTCAGAGCAAAAGCTCCGGCTCCCTCCTGGTCAGATTGTGACAACCTTGCAATACCTTACTCCACCAATAATCCAATTTATATCAATGGGATGATTTGAATTCAATGCCATTAATAAGATTAAGCTTATCACAATCTCATCCTTAGATCTGCTAGTTTAGAACTGTTGCCATAGGGACTTTAAAATTAGCAGCTACAGCTAAAGTAGCCTAGTTTTAATGGCTGTTCACAGCCTGGAGAGAACCTCAGTAGAGAGAAAAGCAAAAAACAAAAGAAAAACATGGGGGGTAGGGGGGGTGGAAACAAAAACCCATAGGAACAAACTTAAGATCTCATTTTACTGAGAAACATCAATCTGTCTTTCCATGCTTAGCTGTGCAGCAACTACACTACAGCCATCAGCCAACCTTTCTAACTCCCTCTTAGGATGACCACCCATCCCTAATTGGGACGGACAGTCCCAAAATGGGAACCTCATGACTCCTGGACAGCATTTGTCCTGGATTTGCAGCATCGTACAGGGATCCAGGTTTTCCGTTCACCAGGGGAAATGGCAGGTTTCCCCTTTCAGGCCGGCAGTGTTCCAGCCTGCAAAGGGCTACTTGGGGCTGTTTGGGAGTGGGGGCAAGGGGTGCCACATGTATGTGCGTGCCCACACACATCCAAGTGGCTGGGAATACAGCCAGGCAGCATGGAGAGCAGCTCCCTGCAGGTAAGTCTATGGGGCAAGGAAGTAGCATGGTGGGGGGTAGACTGAGGCCCCCACAGTAATGGAGGGAATAGTGTAGGGGCTGGGAGGGAATGGGACAGAGCCATGGGAGGCTGATCTGGAGGGTGGGAGTACAGCACCCTGCCGCTGCGCACACTCCTAGTGGGGGCATGTGCCCCCCCCCCCCGTATTTGTGCACAGGGTAGGGGCAGCTCCTATGGGGGGCAGGTGCCCCCCCCCCGTATTTGTGCACAGGGTAGGGGCAGATGCAGCCTGCTTGCTGCAGGCTCAGGGGTCCCCACCCAAGTGCCCTCCCACTGGGAGCCCTGGACCACCATGGTGAGCTACCCCCTGCGTGCCTGGTAGCAGCGGCAGCGGCGTGGAGTTTCATAGTAGCTAGGGTCAGGAGGGACCTGAACAGATCATCTAGCCTGACCCCCTGCCACAGGCAGGAATGAATGCTGGGTACACAAGACCCCAGACAGGTGATCATCCAACCTCCTCTTGAATTTGCCCAAGGTAGGGGTGAGGACCACTTCCCTGGGAAGTTGGTTCCAGATTTTGGCCACCCTAACTGTAAAATATTGCCTTCTGATCTCTAACCTAAACCTAGTCTCCATCAGCTTATTACCATAACTGCTGGGTAGGCAGGGGGTGCACAGCTGATACAGGGTTCACAGGGGAGGGCAGCAGGGCAGAGAGCCCTGAGCCCACAGCAGGCAGACCACATTCACTCCTGCTCCACTCAGTTCTCTGATTGTGCAGCTGGCGAAAGTGGTGGGGTGAAGGGGAGAGGTGGGCGTGTGTCCCACCTTTCCATTTTGAAAAGGTGGTCACCCTACCCATACTACTCCTAAAAGGGAATCCACTATCATAAACCAAAGTAGAGAACCACTGTACTGGGATCCCAACTGGCAAATTTTATTGTGAGATTAAGTGAATATTGCAAAAGCAGAAGAACCTAAACAGTGTGTGTGAAAAGTGCTGCTCTGTTCTATCTGTATCACCTTCAGTCACATTCAGAAGAAGGTTTTCCAAAAAATGGCTGCTAGAAATTGGGACACACATTGTAAGCAAGGAAAATACAACAACAGCAGTTTCTGGCATTTAAGCATCTGCCAAGCAAAAATGAAAGTAACTGCACATCATCCAGAGAGAGGCCAATGAGCAGGCTCAGCTCCCTAGCTGGTGCTATGCAGTTGCTACAAGGAGAGATCTTTTTTCCTTCATTCTGCATTCAAAAAACAAGGTACATGTCATATTCTGGGTATGTTATATGCAAAAAATATAGTATTACTATTGACTTTTGAAAAAAAGTAAATAAACAAGGAATCCATATGCCTATATTCTCATATACTTCTCAACCCTCAAGAGTTTTACATTTAAATAGCAGACATTTTAAACCACAGTTTTTCTTGTATTTTTATGTTTTCATTACCTTTTGAAGGTAAATTATAATATTTACATAGCATCTTTCATAAGCACTTCAGCTATTTAAAAATATGCCTCATCTCAGTCACTGCTGACACAGCCAATTCTGAGATGGAAAGAAAAGGCAGCTTTAACAGGACACAGCAAAGTTACACAAGGAAAGGCAAGTTAAAAAACATTGAAATCCAATGTTTACCGTTTAGTTCAGACTCTGAACTAATTTATGTAGGCTGAATGTTACTGCTCAAACTAGAAATTCATGTCATCTTTTGGGGGAAAAAAATCTACCATGAAATTCTTAAACAAACAGTTAGTAAGGACTTTCTTTGATTTTCGGATTTAAAAAGTAACCCCAAATGCACATTTTTCCATGATTAAAATGAAACACCATAGATAGATAGATAGATAGATAGATTTCATTTTGATCATGGAAAAATGTGGGATATTGGGAGATTGGGGTTTGGTTTTTGTTTGTTTTTTTTAATTGGAGAAAGCCAGGATCCCCGGTCATCAGAAAGGCTGATCCCTGAAGAACCGCATTATAGACAGGAAAGAGGGTGGTGATAAATTCTATCTGTTGTTTTTATTATGCCTCTAAACTACATGGTCAACTTTTTTCTTCTATGTAATAAATCTTTTGCTATCCAATTGCCTTACTGATTGCCTGGAGTGAAGTGTGATCTCAGAACAAGTGACATTCCAGGTGTGCCTCTTCTATGAAGGGACGGATGGAGGGAGAAGCAAAAATTTTGCACAGTAGCTTGTGGAGTATGCTGTAAGGGAAAGTTTTGCTGAGACTTACAGAAACAAGAAGCCATCCCAGGGTAAACAGTCTATTCCATGAGACAAACAGTGTGAGAGTGGGAAGAAATCAGGGGCCCTGGGGGAACTCCATAGTCCGTAACAAATACGTTACACCAGCACTTGTCTAGGACAGCTTTGATAAAGATGTTCCTGCACTGAACAGGAAGTTAGACTGGATGACTGCCTAGAGTTTGTTCCAGCCTTACTTTTCTATGATTATATGAAACATAAGACCTGAGAAATGCTTGGGAGAAGAAATATATTTGGTAAAAATCAAAGCCTGTTCCTTCCGTTGGGAGTTTATAAAACTTCATAAACCATAACCAAGACCTCTAATGAGTCCAGAAGATTGAAGAGACATCTGAGAGGGTGAAGTCTTCCATTCTACCTCATGTGCCAAGCTCAGAGGCACTGGACTGTTTCATTGTTTCATTGGAATACAGGATGCAAGACTGGAAGCACATCCTGTGTCCAGCTCCATACTAAATCACAGGCAACCACACCCTATAATCCCATTTGTACAATATTTTAATATTCCCGACACTTCTCAGTAACACACACACACTTTCAGGCCATCTTTGTATATCATGCGGAAATACAACATTTTGAAAGATCACAAGAAGTTTATGGGAACTTACGGTATGCCTGCACCACTGCCCTGGTATATCAGAAAAGCATTCCCACGTCACATGCATCAAAATCAGAAATTAGATGAAGTCACTCCCAGAATGACACTGCCACCTCTTCCAAGGGCCACAGGAGACAGATCTTGAGAGCAGCAGCATGGGGGAAAAC